ATTAGCTGGGCATGGTAGCATGTGTCTGCAGTCTCAGCTACTTGGGAGGCTGTGGTAGGAGAATGGCTTCTGCCCGGAAGGTAGAAGTTGCAGTGAGCTGAGATCGTACCAGTGCACTCCAGCCTGGGCAACAGAGTGAGACCCCCATCTTAAAAATGCAAAACAAAAACAACTAGAAACCACAAATAAACATGTATCAATTAAAATCCTAAGTCAGATATCTATTATAAAGTAGTAATTGTGTAATGCCTCGTAGACCTCTGTGTATCATTTCATGGTGAATTCAAAAGATGAAGGAGATTAAATAAAACCTTTTCATCTTGATATTACCTAAGACAAAACAGAAATTTTACAAATAGCAAGTACACAAAAATAGAGATTTGCTTAAAATTGTCCTTATCTTTGTTGGATATATAAATCTGTTCTCTGGGATAGTTCCACTGCTTTAAGTAATGGGGGATGTACTAGTTTCATATTCTAAGGATATCCTAAGGATATCCCATATATTTTTATACTAAACCTTATAGCCTGAAATTTCAAAATTTTATTTTCTTATGTAGTTAAATTATAGTTCTTCAGAGGACCTTTATGATCTCCAGTGTAAACTTTTCATTTCAGATTTAAAAAGTCCCTGAGTTCTTGAAAGTTAAATTTAATTGTCATTTGTCTCAAAGATAATGGCTACACTAAGATTACGATTTTAGAGGAATGCAATATTGATTGTTCTAATACTGACAGTTTACAATTATGTTTTATAAATAAGTTTTTATTATTTTTAGTCTTATGCATAGGGCTCTAAATACATAGGTTGGTTTTAGAAGAAAACTAAAAGTAATTCTTTCAAGAAGTTTTAAGTTTCTATGTTTGTGTTTTATTTTTATTTTTATTTCTAGAAACAGTCTCACTCTGTCACCAGGCTGGAGTACAGTGGCGCTATCTCAGCTCACTGCAACCTCCGCCTCCCAGGTTCAAGCGATTCTCCTGCCTCAGCCTCCTGTGTACCTGGCATTATAGGCTTGTGCCACCACTCCCAGCTAATTTTTGTATTTTTAGTAGAGATGGGGTTTCACCAGGTTGCATAGAATGGTCTCAATCTCTTGACCTTGTGATCTGCCCGCCTCAGCCTCCCAAAGTGCTGGGATTACAGGCATGAGTCACTGTGCCCGGCCATTTTGTTTTATTTCTAAAAATTAAGGAGTCAAGAATAACGAGCTTTTATTACAACAGTCTTACAAAAGTAGTCATAGTAGCATACTGTGTTTATCACTGGCTCATATATAATATTATACATACTACATTATTATATGATTACAAATAAACTTTGATAAAGCTGAAATACTGTATTATGTTACATAATTGAATATATCAATGTAATATGAATGTTTATTGTATTCCTCTGAATGTTTCACATTAGGCTGTAAGTATCTAAGGATGAGTTTGGCTAAACTATCAAAAATGTAAAAATATTTTATAACAATTACTTTGGAGATTTGTTACCATGCCTGTTTGATACTTCTAGTATATTTCTAAGTATGTTTCTGTTTATATCAGTCCATGAAGCTTTTATAGGCATACTTGGTATCATGGATGATGCTAGAGTTATAGCCAGTTTCTTAAGCAGATCATTTGATAGTATGTAGGTAGAGTACAGTTAAATTGAGAGCAAGAAGGGTGAAGGGACAAAGGTGCTATTTATTCTTCCACGTTTGTTAGATAAGTTTGGAAAGTTGAGTGCACATGTGTAGTCATGGAGTAGATTATCTTAGAGCCAAAGGGATTAATCAGATCCGTGTTCAAATAGGAAATTAGAATAGCATCCTTTAGACAGTGGAATTCTGTTTTCTGTCTCAGGGCGCAAACACTAAAATAGAATAAAACATTTTATATTCTCATTTTTTATATAAGTTTATAAAAGTTTATAACATAACTTTATAAGTTTATAACTTATAAACTTAGAAGTTTATAAGTTCCATGTGCTTGGTGAAGCCTTGGTTCCTTAGTATAAAATAGAATTGGTAAATTAATCATTTCCATTTGTCCATCTTTTATTTTTCTAAGTAAGGATGTGGTTGCCGTAGTTTTATATTTTGAATAGCAGGCAATCCTGGAGGTAGGAAGATGGGTAGAAATGGAAGAATTTATGTATGAGATGACTAGTACTGAACTTATAGAACAAATTAAAGACCAAGTAAATGAGTATTTTTTGAGAGACTGAGGTTAAATAGAATTGAGCTAAAATTGGAATAATTGGTTCAGAGTAAAATATAAATGTTTAAGTTACATGTAGGCATTTAAAACCCCTAGTGATATGTTTTCAAGTACCAACAGAAATTTTACAGTTGCAATTTATATTGTAATATCTTCTCTCTTTTCCCCTAGGTGGTATCATGGAAAACTTGATAGAACGATAGCAGAAGAACGCCTCAGGCAAGCAGGAAAATCTGGCAGTTATCTTATAAGAGAGAGTGATCGGAGGCCAGGGTCCTTTGTACTTTCATTTCTTAGCCAGATGAATGTTGTCAACCATTTTAGGTAAGTCTTTATTCCTATTATGAAGCCACATGGTGTAGTTATTCTTATATAATATTTATAAATATACCTGTGTAATAAAGGTGAATGACTCAGTAACAACAGAAAAGGATGCGTGTTTTCAGTCAAATGATTTAATCAGTGATTTAGAGAGATTCTTTTGGATGGTCACATTCTTTGTTTAAAAACAATATTGTTCGGCATTACTGTGCTGATTCTCAAATATATTTATAGCTTTTAAAGCATAAGAATTACAAGTAAACTTTGGTAAGGCTAAAGGAAAGGAATTACATACTTTTAGACTATAGAATAACAAAAAGTATAGGAGACCCTGTTTAAAACTCAGTTTGTGTCCTTTATTTTAGCTTCACTATTCTGAAACTCTTTGTAGACATGTACTTAGTGAAGCAGGCATGTAAATTTTCAAGTGCAAATATTAATTCTGTATATAAATATATTTATGTATATTGTTTCACTTTTATAGAAGAAATTGAAAAAAAATCATCTAATGCATATAGTGTTAAATAATAAAATGTTTGTGTACCCTTGGTTTTTAGATTTTAAAGTAAGCTTTAGTAGTACCATGACACCACATGTAGTATGTAAAATTATTACTGTCCTTTGTGTAAATATTGCAACAGATCTGTGAGCTACTTTGAGCTGGAGAAAACTTACTAAAATTGTTAATTTGGCCCTAAATATGGAAAGTGAGAAGAGGTATCTGAGGGTGAATTTTCAAATATTTGATGGAATTCTGTAATTGAGGTTTATAAGCCTGATATGTATTTCATATCAAATGCTTGTATATATATGTAAGAGAAATAGCCCCAAGTAATTTGCTATGATAAAGATATTAATGGTATTTTAGTATAAGGATGTAGTTACAAGGAAAAGAGTATGGCAATTATGGATTTATAATTTCTTCATGAAACTTGGTCTTTAAAATTGGCTGTAAAGATTTTTTATCCTGTTATTTTTTCCTGTTCAAATAGGATTATTGCTATGTGTGGCGATTACTACATTGGTGGAAGACGTTTTTCTTCACTGTCAGATCTAATAGGTTATTACAGTCATGTTTCTTGTTTGCTTAAAGGAGAGAAATTGCTTTATCCAGTTGCACCACCAGAGGCAAGTTTTCAAAAGTTTATTTTTTCACTATAATAGTGATTTTAGCTGTTGTTCAGTTTCTTATGATGTTTATTATAATTCAAGAAGTATTTGTTGTATTAAATTTTAATTCGGGTTATAATGTCAGAACAAAATGGACAACTTCTTTGAAAAAGAAAATACTTTTCAGTAATTTTGTATTTAAGAAATCAGATTTAAAAAATACTGTATGGTGATAGCCTAACAAATATTTCTGAATGGTATAAGGACAAATTATTGATTTCATAGTACTAAACCTGACTTCGCTGAAGGATTCTGAAATGCCTTCTGTATCATCAGAGAAAGGTTAACTTATATGTTTCATATGGTATATTGAAAATGAAATGATCATTCATATTACCTGATAAAAGCCAATTGCTTATATTTAAAATATAATTTTCATAAAAACAAAAACAACAAAAAAGCCTTGCTAGGCACTGAGTGTTCATAGTCCAAGTAAAAATTTATTTGATCTCATGGAGTTTCTGATGTGAATTTTTATTGACTTTAACTGTGTGGATATGCCTCTTTTGATTTTCAGATAAAAAGACTGTCTTTTTAAACCCCCCCTTTTTTTTTTTAATGGTTTCTAGCCAGTAGAAGATAGAAGACGTGTACGAGCTATTCTGCCTTACACAAAAGTACCAGACACTGATGAAATAAGGTATTTTATAATCTATTCTCATGTATAGGCATTTTAAAGAGCTAGACTTGGAAGATTTTTTGCTCTTGGACTAGGAAGGTTTTGCAATTTGATGAAATGGCATATAGCAAGGTGAAAGAGCTTATAATATTGGGTCTGCTGCTCCTGGACCTTTGGGTTGGCTTATTTGTTCAGACTGTAGCTTTGGATCAGAGTGGATCTGATCCACCCTGATAGGAGTGAGTATAACAGGAAAAATAATTAGGTTTTATAACATTGTCTCACAAAGGAGAGTTCTCTTTTAATCTATAACCTATTTAAGTTTTTGTTACCATGAGACATTTATGCCTCAGCTATAAATAAGCTTCTATTTTATGTAGTGGGTGAATAATTTTAAACCTTTGGATAGTAATAGAACTATGCAACATGTTAGTTTTTTTAAATTTCTATATAATTTATTATGTAATTTGTTCATCAAATTATCTGTGTCTTTCTATAAGCTATTTAACTTTCTAGTGGAAACTTTGTTTCTTACCATTAATTCTCTCATTTAATTCTTACTGACACACTTTTATTTGTAATCTAAACTGGAAAGCCCAATAAAAGACAAAGGAGAAAATGCATATATTAAAGAAGAACAGTGATGAATTATAAATTTAGGAATTTAGGTAATTTTTTTTTGGTGGAATCATTTAGAACAGAAGTTCTCAAAGCATGTTCCATGTAACTCTGCGGATCTTTGAGAACCATTTTGAAGTTTCATGTATTAGTCAGTGTTCTCTAGAGGAGAAGATTTATTATTGGGAATTGGTTCACCCAATGATAGATAGAGGCAGAAAAGACCCACAGTCGGCTGTCTGCAATCTGGAAAACCAAGAAGGCCAGTGGTATAATTCAATCTACATCTAAAGACCTGAGAACCGGAGAGCCTATGGTGTAAATCCTAGTTTGAGTGCAGGAGAAGATGAGATGAAATGTCCCAGCTCAACCAGTGAGGAAGAAAAAAAGGGATGAATTTCTCCCTCCTCCACTTTTTGTTCTCTTCAGACCCTTAGTCAACTGGGTGATGCTTACTCACATTGGGGATGGCAGGATACTGTCCTCTGATTCAAATGCTGATCTCATAAAGAAACACCCTCACAGACAAACCCAGAAATATAAATCTGGTAACTCTGCGGCCCAGCTAAGTTGACACATAAAATTAACCATCACAACCCATGAGATCAGATTATTTTCATAACCGTACTAGGACATAATTTGCCTTTTTCATTGTGAATTTTACAGTGATTGTAGCAATGGGTGGTAAAACTGCGGTGTCTTAGTAGAAATCAAGACTGTGGCACAAAAGTGTACAGTATTCTTCACTGTTACACACTTGGAGTTAAAGACAGCTTCATGTAAGAGTGTTATTGATGAGGGAGTAAAAAATATGTATTAAATTTCAACCTGTGACCATACAACTTTAATCTGTATGATGAAATGGGAAGTATCTATAAAACACTTCTGCTGTGTACCAAAGATCAGTGTCATGAGGAAAAGCAATGTGAGATAACTGAACTAGAGACAGAGTCTTGCTCTGTCACCTAGGCTGGAGTGCAGTGGCACAATCTTGATTCACTGCAACCTCCACCTCCTGGGTTCAAGGGATTCTCATGCCTCAGTCTTTTCAGCAGCTGGAATTATAGGCGCGTGGCACCAGGTCCAGCTAATTTATCTATTTTAGTAGAGACGGGGTTTTGCCATGTTGGCCAGGCCAGTCTCCAACTCCTGACCTCAAGTGATCTGCTTGCCTTGGTGTCCCAAAGTACTGGGATTACAGAGATGAGCCATTTTGCGCTTGGCTTAGCTGTTACTTTTGTGCATACCATTTCACTTGCAAGACTGTTTGACATTTTTTGAAAAAGAACAAAGTGAGACTATTATTTCAAGGAAAATAACTGTTAATATTTGTTGTCAATGACAAAATTTGAGTTTTGAGTAAAAATGAAAATTTTAGACTTTTCTGTATTGGCCATCAAGAATTTTACAATTTCTGAGATAATGACTTTTCTGATGAGATAGGTGGTGATAATAAAGAATGAATTTTTGTTTTCCTTTTTTTGTTTTTTTTTTTAAGACAGAGTTTTTGCTCTTGTCACCCAGGCTGGAGTGCAATGGCACAATCTTGGCTTATTGTAACCTCTGCCACCCAGATTCAAGCGATTTTCCTGCCTCAGCCTCCTGAGTGGCTGGAACTGTGGGCGCCTGCTACCACACCTGACTAATGTTGGTATTTTTAGTAGAGGCGAGGTTTCACCATGTCGGCCAGGGTGGTCTTGAACTCCTGACCTTGGGTGACCTGCCCTCCCCAAAGTGCTGGGATTGCAGGCATGAGCCACTGTGCCTGGCCAAGAATAAGAGGTTTTGATACTGTATATAATGTGTTAATAACTAGAAGATAGACAGCTCAGTGAACTAATATTTTCTAAACGGTCAATGTATGATGTTATGCATGAGTAAAAGATTTATTCAAAGTGAAAGATAGACCAGTAGATGTTATTGGAATGCATACAAAAAATTCACTGATAAATAGTTTTGGATTCCATATTACAACTCACCTTCAAGAAAGTACCACTCGTTGAATTTTTGATGTGATTTCATAGAATGTCTATAATTATCTGAAAAGGTTATTAAAATATTTATCCCTTTTACACTATATTCTTAGGTGAAGCCAGATTTTCTTCATATGCTTTGAGCAAAAAATCATATAGTAGCAAATTTAATACAGAAGCAGATATGGGACTCCAGCAGTTTTCAATTAAACCAGGCATTAAGAGATTTGCAAAATTATAAAACAGTGATACTCTCACTAAATTTGTAAAAGTTATAAATATTTTTCATTAATTAATGAGTTTTTTTTTAAAAGGAATTAGTTAATATTTTTTAAACATTTGTTTTAAATTTGAATATGGTAAATATCTATAGATATCCATATAAATAAAAGCCACTTAGGAAATCAATTTTTAAGAGTGTAAGAGGTCCTGAGAGACCAAAAAAAAAAAAAAAAAAAGAAGATGGGAATTTAAACAATAATTAGATGATAGAAATTTGGGTTTATGAGTCTTTTAAAAAATTTGTGCATACCTGTGAATTTTAAAATAAAATACCTTAAAAATTAATAATTTAGTAAATCACTTTAGTTTGTTTAGGGGGGGAAAACACAAAATAATACAGAATGAGTTATGGTTATGTTGTATTACTACTAACAAGCTTATTTAAAAATTTTTTTTAGTTTTTGCTCCATGAAAAGTTGGTATAGCAACAACATTGAAACTTTATGACTACTTTCAACTAAGAAATGAAATTTACCAGTTCATGTGCACCCACCCTCCGTTTACACACTCAATGATTTTCGTTACTGTGCTGATTTAAGTGATTCTAGAAAGGAATAATTTAATTGGTTAAGTGATAATGTCTGCTGCCATTCAGCTAGTGAAATATTGGCCATCATTAAGAAGGATTGTAGAATCAAGATAGAATATAATATTCTATGATTATTCAAATACTGAGTTAAATGTTGTATATAAGTTCTGTTTTTCAAAATATTGTCCAAGAAACAGTGAAGCTTGAGATAGCACAGAGAAAACAGTTAAAGCTTTCAAAGATAGGAGAATAGATTAACTTAAATTTACTTGATAGACTTTGGTTTGTGAATATTAAGACTGAAAGGAATATTGTCGAAAAATATGACAGATACAGACAGTTACAGATATAGGATTAATGGTAGCATCCAACAAATCTTGAAACTTTGTGTTCAGAAGCATTCTTTCAAAGTATGTATTTTTTGCCTTCTTGTTCTTTGTCATAAATGAAGTTGTATCAGTCTGATCATGGAATTGCAACTGGCTGTACATGTTTGGTTTCAGATTCTTTATTTTTCAAATACATATATAAATTTCCAGTAAACTTGGAAGAATTCATTTATACAGTTTGAATATCATCCTTGTTTTTGATTTTATATATAACCTTCATCTGAAAGAGTAATAACATTGAAACATAATTTTTTCAATTCAGTTTTCTTACACCCCCAAACCTTTAATATATGTATAATTAGTTTCTGTTAACAGAAGTTGTAATTTGAGTCTAACAATAATTCAGTGTTAGAGATAGTACAGATACTATTATCAAACCCATTTTACTCATGAGGAAATTAAGATTCAGATTATTTATTATCTTCAGAGATTTACATGTAGATAATGCCAGAAACAGGATACAAATTTAGGGAATTTGACTCTAATTCCTTGTATTTTTCAATATATTACTATCCTGTTTTGTGGTGTATGACTGTTCGAATTTATGTATTTAAAATTTTTAATAATTTAAAAATTGCTATTTTCAGTTTCCTAAAAGGAGATATGTTCATTGTTCATAATGAATTAGAAGATGGATGGATGTGGGTTACAAATCTAAGAACAGATGAACAAGGTCTTATTGTTGAAGACCTAGTAGAAGAGGTGGTAAGTTTTGTTCTTTTCTTTTCAATTCTAAATTCTAATTATTTGATAAAATTTGGATCTTTTCCATAATCAGAGAAAGTAGCTATGAATACATTTCTTTAAAAAAGAATTTAATTGGTAAGTACAAGGAGTTTTTCATTAAAATCTATTTATTATAAGTGCTGTTTGTTAGTGTGGCACATAAGCTAGCATGTTATAATACATAGCTGCCAATATTCAGAAAGCTTTTATGAGTTTCTATGAATTAAAAATATATTAACATTTGTGCTTTTTTTGAGACAGAGTCTTGGTCTGTTGCTCAGGCTGGAGTGCAGTGGCACAATCTCGACTCACTGCAACCTCCACCTCCCAGGTTTAGGCGATTCTCATGCCTCAGCCACCCAAGTAGCTGGGATTAGAGACATGTGCCACCACTCTCAGCTAATTTTTTAATTTTTTAAAATAGAGACAGGGTTTTACCATGTTGGCCAGGCTGGTCTCAGACGCCTGACCTCAAGTAATCCACCTGCCTTGACCTCCCAAAGTGCTGGGATGACAGGTGTGAGCCACTGTGCCTGGCTTATTTGTGCTTATTTTTGTCCTTTTTTTTGCCCTCTTGTTCTTCCTCATAAATGAAGTTATATCGTTCTGATCATGGAATCTCAACTGGTTGCACAAATTTGGTTTCAGATTCTTTATCTTTCAAATATATATAATTTTCCAGTAAACTTGGAAGAATTCATTTATATTATGCATATGTTATTACATGGTTCTACAGTTTGAATACCATCCTTATTTTTGTTGCCATCATATAATACGTTATCATATGGTATCTATTACATGTGCATTTTTAATAACAGGTCAGCATTTGAATAGCTTTTATACTTCAGAGACAACACTCAGTATCAAATATATCAAACATTATAACTTTGGAATTCTCCCTTTCCTTTCTGATTTGTCTAATGGGATGGAGTGGCTTTCTGTTGTCTCTTACGGCCCTGGAACCTACTGTTTTTAAATTATGCCATCAGACCTGATAATATGCTGAAATGTATGCGCTGATTATTGCTCCTGGAAGACTGCAGTGGAGAATATATTTCTTTTCCTATACTCTTACCTGTCTGTTCTGGCAACTGGAACAGAAACATCTTTTCTAAAAGCATACATTGTAGAGGTGGAAAAAGTTGAGGAAATGGTGTGATACATTCTATACTCATAGTCATATAGTTGTTTAGTGAAAGAGCTAGGATTAGGACTCCTAATTCCTAGATTAGTATTCTGTATTCTACAGTAAAAGAGATATTTATTCCATATAGGCAAACAGTAATCATACTGAAGCATCTTACTATGTTAGTTTTCCTGTAAAATTTGTTAGTAAAACTTTTAGTTTGGGTTTCCCTTTTCCTCCTATACCACCATCTTCCCCATCCTGATTACTTAAAGGAATTGCACTGTAGTTGAACTTTTCTTGACCTCTTGGAATTCTGGATCAAATTTAACAAGATAAACTTTAAAAAGAGTAAGTGAAAGTTATTCAATGTATACAGAAAAATAGTAACAACCCAAACCAGAATAAGGAGACATGACCTAACATCAGTCAATACAAGGGATGAAGAAAAAAGTTAGCAACCTCATATGAGTGAATAATGTGATGTGGTTGCTAAAAATGAATATAATAATATTATAAATTAATAGTGGAATAATTACAAGTCAGTTATAAATAATTTTTACTCCAATATGTAGAATAACTTTCACAATGGGCTTTATTAGAGGGTAGTGAATTCGTTGTAGATTGAAAACCCATTTGGACATTTTTAGATTGTGAAGATGTTTCAGGCATTCAGTTAGTGGTTAGATTTAAAGAATTTCTCCTTCTAAAATTGAAATTACTATTCCCCAAACACATTTATGCTTTTACGTATTAACTCTAGAATGTATGCTCTGTGAGGGGAGGGACTTTTGTCTCTGATTGACTGATGTATTCCCATTGCCTAGAATAGTGGCTGGCATTAGTAGGCATTCAGTAGATGTTTGTTAAGTAAATGAATATCTCTATGCTTATAGTTTTCCCTTTTCCTTGACATTCCTGCCCTGTTAGAGTGCCTTGTAAAATTTGATTCATCTTTATCAATTCAGTTCATGTGTCACTCCTTGTTTCACAGAGGATTTATGCCTTTGTGGAATCTCTTAGGCAAAATTGTTTCCCTCTATTACACTGTCTAAAATTAATTTATTATGTACACTTCTTCTATAAGAGAGTAACCCTTTTTGGGCCATGATACAATGGTAATCCTATTCATTTTTATAGTTTTTGTTTGTTTGTTTTCCTACTGCCTTGGATGTAGTAGCATTCAGTGAGTGTTTGATTTTAGTTTGATTAGGTATTTAATGAGTGAGGACCAAATTGTGAAAAATAAATCCACATGTAGTTAGACCATTTTCCTCCATAATAGTGGAATGAGTAACACTTAGTATCTTAAATCAGAGGAATGTAGAATAAAATAAAGTTCAAAACATGATAAAAGGGGGATGTCTTTTATATTCAGAGTTGGTGTTCACTTTTTTGTCTCGCTGAAGAGGTAGGATTTGAGATCATTCCTTCCTAGATGGGGTAGGTTTTTATCTAACAGGTAGAAAGCAAAAAGTGGAAAGTACATTCTGAAAACAAAAAGAAAAAGCTACAGTGGTAGGAGATTGGCAAATAGGAAGTTATGTGTGACCATGGCATAGGTACCTAAAAAGAATTGGTAGTATGAGACAGAAAATGTGGAGTTGAGTCCTGTGGTAAAGGACTTCAGTTGCAGAATGAGAAATTTGTAGGCAGTAGAGAGGTGTTTGTTTTTTGTTTGTTTTTTCTTAACATAGCGCAAAGCTGCTGTTGAAACTGATGTATCCAAGTTAGAGTGGTGGAGTAGGACATAGAGGTAATTATATTAGTTGGGCTGTTGTACTAATTTAAGAAAAATGGGCAAGAGGGCCTGAGTTAGGGTAATGGCAACAAGAAAAGATTAAGAGAGGTATGGAAAGATACTTCTTGAACAGAAACATCTTTTCTTGTATACACATAAATATGAAGGGCAGTGTGGGTTGAAGATATGATTTTTAATAGAAGTAGATTAATAGTACTTATATAAAATACTGTCTTCATGTCTTCCCTTTAGGGCCGGGAAGAAGATCCACATGAAGGAAAAATGTGAGTTTGTGTTAATTATTACAAGGAAAAAAATAAATGTATCTATATTGTAAATTTACTAATTGGAAAACTTTGGCCAAAATTTTGTTTTAAAGTTTTTAGACTGACTTAAACATCTTTTTAATTTGGCCTACGGAACTGATTTCCAAATATTTTATTAAGGATCTAGTGATACAATTAAATACAACTCTCTTTATCACCACACTTAAAGACTTTCAATAAACATTACATTTATAACATTATGAATGTCACAGTTCAGCACAATTTAAAATTATTCATAGTGTTTATTGGTTATTCACAGTATTTCTTGTTTTATAGCCACATCTTTTATCCTTCCCCCTCCCCCCCGTAACTGTTCTTCACAATTTTAATAGGATTCTGCGGTCTTTTTTTCGTAATCTTCAGACTGATTTTATGTATATGTAAGTTTTCTTTTAAAGATCTGAGCCATTAATCCCAATTCTGTCTTACTCACATTTTAATCGATTATATCTTGTAATATCTTTTCAGTAGTACAACATTTTTTTTCGTTCAGCATTTATGGATGGAACTTGAGGCTTGCCTCAAGTGTTTGGTTTTTCTGTTTTCTAACCGTTAGAATATAAAAACATTAAACTGCCTACTCCATTTGCAGTCACCTTATTTAATGCTTCACTCTTCTGTAAGTGAAATATGTAAGATATTTTCTGAGTTCATTTTTATTATTTCTCGTAGCTACAAAATAGACTCCATTAGTGAGACTGTACCTTGCTGTTTGTATTAGTTTTAAGTCTTCTCCTCTTCAAACTAATACTCTTCAGGAGTTTTTAATTCTTTTTTGTAATTATTATTATTATTATTATTTTTTGACACGGAGCCTTGCTCTGTCACCCAGGCTGGAATGCAGTGGCATGATCTCTGCTCATTGCAACCCCTGCCTCCTGGGTTCAAACGATTCTCCACTTCAGCCTCCTGAATAGCTGGGACTATAGGCACACAACACCATGCCAGGCTGATGCTTGTACTTTTAGTAGAGATGGGTTTTTGCCATGTTGGCCAGACTCGTCTTGAACTCCTGACCTCAAGTAATCTGCCAGCCTTGGCCTCCCAAAGTGCTGGAATTACAGGTGTGAGCCACTGTGCCTGACTAGGAGTTGCAAATTTTGATTAATGCTTCAAGGATCAGATAGACAATGTAAGCAAATGAAGTAGGTCAGGTATATATATTCCCAGTTTTCTTTAGAAACAATAATCTTGATCTTTCTTATTTTCCCTCTTTGATAGAGATCAAGGTACATGGAACTATGTTCCTACTATCAAAAACAACACTGTAAGTGTGGTAACAAATGGCTCTGACATTCATTCATGGTATTAGAGAAAACTGGGAGGTGGAAAACTAGAAAGAGTTTGCCTGTTGTAAGGTAAACACTCTAGTTGATATGTGTAGGGATGTGAGTCTAGTGTTATGAGAGCCTCCTGATTTTCAAAAGACCATAAATCTAGATTTTTATTTTTATTTTAGATTATAGCAATGGAATTTTTAATTTAAAAATGTAGGTTAAATGCCAGTAAACACTTAAAGCTGCATACATTTCTCATAAAACATAAATCTCACTTTCACTTGGAAGTCTTTTTATCTGATAGCATTGTCATTCTTCCATTTTTCTTAACTTTATGTAATTTCTTATTTGGTATTTAGCATAACTAAAATTTGCATTTTTGGTTTATTTTATGTGTCTGTTTGTTCCCTTTAATTTCTTAATACAGGACTATGGCAGTGAGGCGGTACTTTAAATTCTTTAAAGTGTCCTCAGTAACATCCATAAGTACCCTTTGAGATTAAATAGATGGTATAACTTTGGGTTTCTTTCCAGCTCTCTGTTTCCATGATATAGGCACCGAGTCCAGATGGTTTTGTTTCCTAAAATATTTCTTGAATGTTTACCGCCTTCTCAAATCTTAATAACTATATTCTAGCTCAGGCCTTTTTAAATCTCTTGCCAGGATTTGATATAGCAGTAACCTCCAAGTTGATCTCCCTTGACTCTTTAGCGTTATCAAATCCTTTTTTCCAGTAGCTAGAATAATTTACCTAGATGGTATCACATTTTCACCTAAAATCCTTAATTGCCAGCAGATACATGAAAAAATGTTCACCATTCATTGTTGATCATTAGCTAAATCCAAATCAAAACTACAGTAACATTTCATCTCACCCCAATTATAATGGCTTTGATCCAAAAGATATGCTATAATGAATGCTGGCGAGGATGTGGAGAAAAGGGAACCCTTGTACCCTGTTGGTGAGAGTGTAAATGAGTGTAGTTACTATAGAGTGAAGCATGGAAGTTCCTCAAAAAATTGAAAAGAAATCAGCATATCAAAGAGAAAACTGCACTCCCATGTTTTAGCACCATTCAGAATAGCTGAGATGTTTAATCAAACTAAGTGTTCATCAGTGGATGAATGGATAAAGAAAATATTGTACATACACACAATGGAATACTATTCAGCCATAAACTAGAATGAAATCCTGTCATTCACAACAACATGAATGGAACTGAAGAATGCCATGTTAAATGAAATAAGCCAGGCACAGAAAGACAAAGACCATGTGTTCTCACTCATATGGGAGCAAAATATTAGAAAATTGAACTCATGTAGATAGTAGAATGGTGGTTACCAAAGGGTGGGAAGGGAGGATACAGTAGGGCTGATTAATGAGTACAAAACTACACCTATGTAGAATGAATAAGATCTAGTATTTGGTAGCACAATAAGGTGCTACCAAATAATTTACTGAATATTTAAAAATAAAAGATAGGAATTGGAATGTGCCTAACACAAAGAAATTATTATAGGTGCTTGAGGTGTTGGATACCCCAGTCACCCTGAATTGATCATCACACATTATATGCTTGTATCAAAACATCACTGGTACCCCATAAAATATGCAACATAATAGTTGTATACATTATCCATCAAAACAGAAAAAATAAAAATTAAAAAATCGAATCTTTTGCTGATTCTCCACCTTTACCTTAGCAGAGCCTAAAAAATGATCTGTTATATGGCTGTTTTGTCCTTTATTACTCCTATCACTTACCATCTCTAGTTTTCTAATCTCCATCTTGTAGGTCTTCAAATACATACTACTTTTGTCAGTATTGTTTTAGAGATAGGTTCTTGCCACTGCTCAAGCTAGAGTGCAGTGGTGCTATCATGGTTCACTACAGCCTCAAATTCTTGGGCTCAAGTGATCTTCCCGCTTGAGCCTCCCAAGTAGCTGAGACTACAAATGTGCACCACCACACCTGGCAAATGTTGTAAAATTTTTTTTTTGTAGAGAGGGAGTCTTACTATACTGCCCAGGCTGCTCTCAAACTCCTCGCCTCAAGTGATCCTCCCACCTTGGCCTTCCAAAGTGTTGGGATTACAGGTGTGAGCCATTGTTCCTGGCTATTTTTCTTCTTTATACCTCTGCTCAAGCTGCTTCCTAGACCAGAATTCTTCCATTCATACTTAGCTCATTTATCACTTCCCCCTAGGAAATCTTCCTTTATTTTCTTCCCTACTCACTCAACAGAATTGGTACCCTTCTCTGTTATTAATGCCTTCGGCAATACCTATCACTGTGCTTATATTTTCTACATTGTTTCTGTAGTTAGACAGGGTCTCACTATGTTGTCCAGGCTGGTCTCGGACTCTTGTACACAAGAGCTCTTCCTGACTTGGCCTCCAAAAGTACTGGGATTACAGGTGTAAGCCACCATGCCTGGCCTAGGAGTAGGAACTTCATAAGATCAGGGACTCATCTTTTTATCATTGTTGCAAACCATGTGGTTGAAATATATAAATTTTATACTGGAATAAATGTCTGAAGAATGAAACTATTTTTAGAAAGTGATATTGCTGCTTTAACTTCAGACTGTGTGCTTCTGCTAAATAATGTTTTTCATCTGTAAACTTTATCATTTTTTTTACCATTCTCTTTTTGAATTTTTTTTCAAACTGTAGAAGTAGATGATTACCCTTGGAGGTAAGGTCATCTAGTTGACTCTCCTCCAGAATATAAAAATCCTGCTCTAACATTTGTTTTAAGTGATCATTTAGCCTATGCTCGAATGCAGTGTAGATCCTCACTACATGCAGTCTGGACTGTTTTAGTTGTTGTACACTTGCTTTATATTATTCAAAATTTGCACAGGGAGCACCAGGAGATCTGAATTAGTGAGTTCATGCTTTGAATGGTATTAAAGAAAAGTTTACCTTTTTATTCATATGAAAATTTAAAAAATCAATTATATTTTCATTCTTCGCCAGTAATAATAGTATGGATCATTTAAAACAATGTGAACAACCTCTGAACCTGTAACACTGGACTTTAGAGCACTTATATATTTCAGTCATATGTTTCCTTTCCAGCTTGCTCTTTAAAATAATTGTAAACCCTAATAAGATACAGCAAAGTAGTAGAAAGGTGATTGGGAATTGTCAGCCTGGCATTAAGATGTGTTAATCAGCAAGATAGATAATAGGCCTTTAGGTAAATAAGAGGTGATTTTATATACTTAGATAACTAGTAATTACTTTTTAAATCACATACATCATTTTATTTGAAGGTAAAATTTAAATACTTGTTATTTATATGCTTTATATTTTGACTATCATGCCATTTATAAAATTTGGAAAGGCTTAATTTAAGAATACAGACTATAAAATACTTAGCAACCTAGTTTGATAGGCTGTTAGCTCAAATAGAGTTAGGAACACTAAGTCCTTCTTTTCTTTCAGTTCTTGGTGTTGGTATCCACTTGTTCTTATCACCCAGTCTTAAATTCTGGCTTTTAGCAAAATAAGAGTCAACATCTTGAATTTATTTGAAGAGAGAATTTATCATATGGTATAGGAAAATTCAGAAATAGGAGAAAAAATTAATTAAGTTTTTCAGGAAATTCTCGTGTAGGCGCTGTCTGTACTACTCCTTCCCCTCTCCCCACAAAAAGAAACAAAAGACCTATAACAGTTTGTTATTAATCAGGATTAAAAATTGTTGCCATTTTTGTATAGGTAATGAAAATTGTAGTTTATATTTGATAGTTCCTAGTTTTACTACATTTTGTTGAAATTAAATATATATATATATACACAATGTAATAAAAATGTTTTAAGAATGACATTTGATTAATTGCATTTATTTCATTGTATCAATTTGAATTAAACTTATTGTATTAATTGTTTAGTTTTGATCATATGACAACAAAAGGACTTTATATATCTAATTTATTCTCTTTTTAAGATGGTTCCATGGGAAGATTTCTAAACAAGAAGCTTACAATTTACTAATGACAGGTACCTTTGTATTTACTTGCTTTTCTAATGTCTATTTAAAGAGAATAAAAAGGTGAACAAAACATTTATTACGTGTTTTGCATTTAGCATTCACTTAGTGTTTATGCATGTTATAATTTTGTGTCCAGTGCTAAGAAGTTGGTGTTTTTGTTTATATTTTAAAGATACATGTAGTATAAAATTTAGTAAAGTGTTTTTCTTTTACCTCAGGCTCCAGTCCACTTCCTCAGAAGTAACACTAGATGACAGTTTTTTTCCATATGTTTCTAGAAGTTTTCTGTGTCTCTGTGAATCTCTCTCACCCCTACACATACACACACGGGAATATGCAGCACAGTTTCTTCATGTTAGATATATATTGGGAGATGATTCTGTATCTGCAGATAAAAATTTTCGTTACTCTTTTTATATGGCCTTAAACTTTTCAATATATAAATACTATAATTAACTAGTCTTTAGTAGAAGGATATTGTATTTTATTCTTTTGCTGTTCATCTACAGTAGGCATTCTTGTATTTATCTTTGTATACTTGGGGAATTATATGATTGAGCCTTATTGAATATGTATTAATTTTAACATTTCCCAAAACTCTTGTGCTTATAAATACAAAGTAAAAATTGACTTGTATTGTGGGTTTAACCATCCTGTCATTGTTTATTTTTACTAAATATTTAAGGCTGAATTAATTTAAATACCAAACATTTCTTCGGCAGACCACATTGTATAAAGATTTCAGATGCGTTTAAGCTTTAGTATGTAATTTAAAAGTTTTATTTCTTCAAATATATTGACTATTCAGTAGTTTCTGTATTTGATGAAATAAGTTCTTATGGTGATAACACTAGTTATTAAAGATGTAATCTGAATTGTTTTAATCCATAGAACATTTAATTTAATTTTATTTATTTATTTTTTGAGACAGAGTCTCACTCTGTCACTAGGCTGGAGTGTAGTGGTGTGATCTTACTGATTGCAACCTCCCCTTAATGGGTTCACGCAGTTCTCTTGCCTCAGCCTCCAGAGTAGCTGGGACTACAGGTGCATGCCACCATGCCCCAGCTAATGTCTGTATTTTTCGTAGAGACGAAGTTTCACCATGTTGGCCAGGATGGTCTTGATCTCTTGACCTTTTGATCCACCTGCATTGGCCTCCCAAAGTGCTGGGATTACAGGCGTGAGCCACAACTCCCAGCCTAAAAGCATTGCATTTTAAATTAATACTTTACTCTTTTGAAAGATTTGAGATAGTTTTTGAAGTACTCAATTTTATTGTGAAGATGTAGGTTAATTAGGTTCAAAAAAGTTTGAAAAAAGATGATAATGCTATATGATAATAATAGAGAAGAAATTTTAAACCAAAATGATATTCTAACAGCTATTTCAGGGTGGAACCGAAAATATGTAGTTTAGTGAATTTATTGAATTTTGAATATGTTTCTTTTCTGGAACTTGTACCACCAAGTACCTGAGGTGCTTACTCTTGTTTTAGTCATACAAGGTTGAAAAGGAACTAAGCTTAATTTCCTTACATTAGTTTGCATTTTCTTTGTTATGTGCTCTTTTGAGAATCTGGTGGGATTTTCTCTCCTGAGGAGTACAAATAAGCACTTACATGCACAATTTTGCATGAAATTCCTATCATATTCTAGAAGACATTTAGAGAGTATCTTGGATTCTTGTCACTAAGATTTGTTTTATCACTTTCATTTGAGCCTATATTATGCAGTCAGTTTTTGTAACTTTTATGTTTACTTATGTGTTAAGTCTTGAAGATTCAGTTTTAGGAGATTTATTTTTTCTTTTTACTGAACAGGAAGTTAGTTGATAATAAGTGCCTTGATTGGATGATTGGAACTATTAGTAATTTACGCCAAAAATTATATCTTACGCATTTACTGTGCTTTCCTAAAAACAATCAAGTCCTGATCTTTTCTATATCATTCAGACTTAAATGGAGAAGAGAAAAAAAAGACTTATATTGTTATTAATATAACAATTTATTAATATAACAATTATTAATCCTTTGTTATTAATGAGGATAAATTGTTGCCATTTTTGTATTGGTAATGAAAATTGTAGTTTATATTTGATAGTTCCTAGTTTTACTACATTTTGTTGAAATTAAATATAGTATGTATATACAATGTAATAAAAATGTATTAAAATGAGATTATTTGTTTTTGTTTTTTTTTGAGACGGAGTTTCACTCATGTTACCCAGGCTGGAGTGCAATGGCGCTATCTTGGCTCACCGCAACCTCCGCCTCCTGGGTTCAGGCAATTCTCCTGCCTCAGCCTCCAGAGTAGCTGGGATTACAGGCACGCGCCACCATGCCCAGCTAATGTTTTGTATTTTTAGTAGAGACGGGGTTTCACCATGTTGACCAGGATGGTCTCGATCTCTTGACCTCGTGATCCACCCGCCTCGGCCTCCCAAAGTGGTGGGATTACAGGCTTGAGCCACCGCGCCCGGCCTAAGAATGAGATTATTTGATTAATTGCATTTATTTCATTTTATCAATTTGAATTAAACTTACCATATTGATTGTTTAGTTTTGATCATGTGATAAAAGAAAAAGGACTTTATCTAATTTACAAATAAATTAGATATTTAAATAAAGAGAAAAGGTAGAGTGTCTGAGTATTCGGAGTCACTGCCAATCAAAGATATCAACAGTTCTCTAAAATTAATATGACATATTTAATATATGATAATTTGCTTCTATAATTCCTTGCAGGAGCATACCTATTGAATAAAGTACAGCGTATGTGTATTGATTTTGATAATTCATATACATATTTCAGTTGTTTTGAATCTACCTTTATAAAAAGCTTTTGGTACTATTTTATTACAGTCATTATTTTTTAATTTTTTAAAAGAGATTCTTGTATTTATCTTTGTACACTTGTGAAATTATATGATTGAGCCTATTTAATATGTATTAATTTTAACATTTTCCAAAACTCTTGTGCTTATAAATACAAAGTTAAAATTGACTTGTATTGTTGGTTTAACCATCCTGTCACTGTTTATTCTCACTAAATATAGGATAGGATCTTGCTGTGTTGCCCTGGCTGGTATTGAACTCCTGGGCTCAAGTGATTCTTCTGAGTAGCTGGGATTATATGCATGTACCACTGTGCCTGGCACAATCGTTATTGTTTAATGATTAATTGAAAACATTAGCTAAGCACAGAGTATTCTTAAGCAAAATTAGTTTTTACTTTTTAGAATCTTATCAAGAGGATTTACAAACAGAATTTAGCAGTTTTAGCTCATATTCCCTAATTTTGCTTAGGTTACCTTTTGAAATTACGACAGGTGTAGACATTAATGACCAGAGGTTATGCCATAAAATTTCTGCTCTCTACTTTTATGTATTAAAGCTGGTAAGACACATCAGAGAGAGCAGATAGACAAAATGGATAGTTGTGAATCATAAACCAGAAAATTTGAAAGAAAATTTGTTTAAAAAAAAAAATGTTCCGGTAAAAATTTACATATGTTTATGACTTTGAATGGACTTTGTAATAATACTACTTAACATCTTTTCTTTTTTATTTGATAATTAGGTAACAAAACTAACAGATTAATTTTTACAGTTGGTCAAGTCTGCAGTTTTCTTGTGAGGCCCTCAGATAATACTCCTGGTGATTATTCACTTTATTTTCGGACCAGTGAAAATATTCAGCGATTTAAAATATGTCCAACACCAAACAATCAGTTTATGATGGGAGGCCGGTATTATAACAGGTAAATCATAATTTTTTTTAGCTACCTTTTACTTTTGGCAAAAATAGTTAAAATCTTGACAATAAAAGATTCAAAATTATATAAAAGTTTGTAACTTGTAAAAATTATAAGACCTTCAATATAATTGCATAGCAGTCATGCCCAATAATTCTTTAGACAGTGCCAAAAAAAAATATGAATACAAATTAGTAACTTATACTTTGTTTCCTTTCAAAGTAATTTTTGCGATTTTAAAATTAGACATAAGCTGTTTGCACAAAATTTGCTAAATCTATATATAATCTGTAGGAAGAGCAAAATATCTAAGAAAAAGAAAATATTATTATCTTATTAGTGAGATACTTTAGTATAAAAAAAAAAGTTTCTGAAGTTACCTGAGACTTATTATACAGATTATCATGTAATTGAGTTGTTCTCAAGTTGACATTTCTTATATGTGATTGTTGCTTTTTACTTCTCATTTTCAAAGTAAACTAATTGTCCCAAAACTCAGAATGAATTATTACTTGATTAGGAAAATAAGTTAATAGAGGAAACCCTATGATAGAATGTCAGACATTTTTCTATCAAATAGAAAATAATCTTCATTTGTGAATGTAAAGGTTTTCCTATAACTAGTAACTGTAGAGCAACGCTGTTTTCCTTTTTCAGAGGCTGGTATAATCTTGTTCTAAAACACTTACATTTGCCTAGTTTAACCCCTCAGTACCACAGTAGCAATCTATCTGAATTAGAATTTATCAAACTAGACATTTTAATGAAGAGAGATTCTGTAGCTGGTTTACCTGAAGAAACAAAAAATAAAACAAGTTCTTCTGGTTGCTTGCTGGAAGCTCAGTTGACTGTTACAAGACATCAGATGTAAGATGGGAGTCTAGGCAGCTGGACCCTTTTGCCTACCTCATACACAAGTTGCTTGAGTACTTTCTGCATGACAATCTGAGTTCTAGGTGTCCTCACTGAAAATACAGCTAGTTGCAATTTGAACTCTTTAAGAAAGTAATTTTTCCCATTTCTAGTTTTCTAGAGATTTAGAACATACAAAATAATACATTGAAAACATATTTTCTTCTTAACTGAATGAATGTCCATATTGAGATCGTTTTTAAAGATAAAATGATTTATACAGAATTTTTGGAAGTTTGTTTTGTCACTAAAACTTCCTTAAGATACATCACACAAAATTGGAAATTCTTGTTGCATAGTGGAGGCACTAGGTAAAACACGAAAAGGTAGTTGCTTTTTGTTGCTAAATACCATGATGGAACATGAAAAAAGAAGAAGTATTTTAAGTGATTTCTGTCCAAATTATTGCAATATTATTAGTCTGTTTTCAAAATGAGGATTTTTTAAAAAAGTTAAATGTATATTAATTTAGTGGCCTTGACCATTCCCCAAGAACTTTGATTTTTAGAATTTTTATTCCCTCTGAATTTGTTTACAAATTCATGTTACTGTTTCTAGTTTTAACAGTAAACTTTTTAAAGAAAGCCCCAAATTATGTTAATCAGGTGCCATGAAAATGAAGGATTTTGTAATTGTTTTGGAAATATATATTGCATTTCAGCATTAACATTAGTAACAATGTCAGAAATAATTCCTAGCAAGAAATACAGCCATACTCTGCTGTCCCATCTCTCCATCAACTATACATACGAGACCTTTGAGAAAGAGAGGCAGTAGTTACATCTTTCATTTGGAAACTGTTAAGACATAACTTTAATATTCCTATATTGAGAGTTTTAAAAAAGCCAAAAAGGCATTTAATAGCAAATTTAATTCAGCAGACATTTATAGACTTATCTACTTTGTGAAATATACTGTACAAATCCTGTTTTGTAAATACATTAAAGAAAAAGATACAATTTCTTCATTATTGGTGCTCAGGTTTATTAGAAGAGATAGTGTAGTATGCAGACTGTGATAAATTCAGGGGATGTATAAATGTGCATGGGAATCAGTAGATGAGATTTCAGTGGTTGGTGAGAAGGAAGAGCATGGATTTTGGCCAGACCTTGAGGATTATTAACATTTATCTATGCTTCAAGAAGAGTGCACATGGTTTTATGTGCTAAGTGCATTACGAAAATTAAAATATGTCTGGAGAAGTGTTTCCTAGGTGGCTTAAAAGTTGCCATTTGTCCAGTATATTAAAGGGAAGTTTAAAATTCCAAGATTTCCATATTCAGGACAATAGAATGATCTTACTGATTATAGAGGAATAAGTTTATATTTAAAAAATTATGCGGTTCACTAAAATTTATATTAAAATACATTGTCATTTTATTTTCAATTTTGTTTTTTAAAATATTTTCCCAGTATTTAGAACAATTTGTAGCACTTTTAATCAAAATAATCAATAAACTTTTCTCTCTATAGTGATAAT